GCAGCAGACAATGTTGTTAATTGAAATGCACCAACAGTTTAAAGTCTGAAGCTATTGTTCAGCTGCCTCTGTTAACTAATCAGAAATTTTAATTTACTGTTATTATTTTTATTTATTTTGTACTGATTTGTCTAAAGTGACAATCGTATTAGTTTGAAGACTCTTTGTTAAATATGGAAATATTTGTTTCCTTTGGGATTTAAATATACCACTGGTAATGAGAAGAAAATAAAACTGACTGCATATTAAAGGAAACCAATCCAAAAGTTGTGCTGGTGCATTATTGGCAAGTATTGGTGAGAAGACAAAATAGAATATATATAAGTATCAGAACAACCCTGGTTCCAAAAGTTCTCTATTATTGAAGCCATGAATAACTTGTTAGGACATCATTGTTTAAATGATACAACTGTGTTGAGGAGACAAGCCAGAACTTGTAATCACTTATCGACACTGATGTTACATAAAACACATAGCCACTCGACAGTGTGTGTGGTGCTGCTCTTTCTGCTCCACCTGTTCTCTGAGGATCATGGGAAACTGATGTTCACGCCAACTGACTTCAAACACCTCCTAAATAACAGAGGTTTGGGTTATACAAGGTACTGTCCCAGGCTATGGCTTTGATATATTGTTTTCTATGGTTAAATCAAAGCTAAAGCATCATTAAAGCAATTAATACTGCACACAAAGCTGTCAGACACTGTGCTGGAAGCAACAACTTGGTAAAAAAAAATAGCAGCTTTTCTGCCTTTTGTCACTGTCGCTGACCAACACCAACCATAATTACCCTCCTGTGAAGAATGCCTGTGCCAGTAGCGTACTCCAACCATAGCCATATTTTAACATAAAGGGATCTCTACTGAGAGCATAGTAGTAATTATGAGATCAAAAGGGTATCAAAGGACAGTGTGAAATAGTAGAGTTATTTTTGGAAGACACTGAGTATAATGTGGAGAGAAGTAAAACAAAAAACAAAAAAACCCACTACACTCTTACCAAGGGCACCTTTGTTTACTATACAAAATATATAATCAGTTGGTGTTTTATATTTACAGCTTTGTTAATGAGGGTTTTCTGTGAAAACAAATAGAGACATAATCAACCAACCACAATGACACATTAAGGTAAAGTAACCACATGCTTTGAACAAATGAGAAGCAGAGTAGCAATTAACTTGCAACAATCATCAAGTAAAACTAAGGTTACCACAAAATCATTAGCACAAAACTGTGCTCTAAAGTTATCAAAAATCTGCTGGTAAACAAACACTTTCAGATGAACTACAAATTTGTACACTTTATAATGAGAGTATCTTGGTTTAACACAACTTACAGTATATCCTTGAATTAAATAGAATAATAGAACGGACTTCTGGCAATACATTTAAAAAGTATTTTTTGACCTTAAAGTGGGAAGATAAGACTACATCTTAGTAAGAGAAAGGACGTCTAAAAGAATCTCAACTGCATGAAGCTGATTTATTTTCAGCTGCATTTCAAAAGGTTGCAGTCTGTCTCAGTGAAATGTCACCAAGCAGGCATTTCTGATAGATCACCATACAAGGCTGACTAATTTAGAGGATGTATCTACTGTCCAATAACTTGTTTCACTGAATCGAAAGATCAGACTTGTTTGGTGCCCCTGTGCATTTAGAAGAAAAAAAACAGAAGACATATGGCACTACAGTCTGTGCAAAGCCTGGTGCTTAAAGTATAAATTACAATGTGTCAAAGCTCATCAACCAAAGCACTGTTGATGTTTTAATTACAAAACACTCCCACCATGGACTAATGGTTTAGAGATCGGGTTCATGAGCTGAGAACTGTTTGATTCCAAGCTCTGGCAGAGTTGTGATGTATTGAGCATCAAAAATACCCACCCCCCTTCTTAGGAACAGTAACGTGAAGCAACTGTTATATGAAAAAATAGAAGGTTCTCTAATTCTCAAGTCACCCTAGTGTCCAAAATGGGGTCAGGAAAACACTTTGTTTATAAAAAGCTGCACCATTAAAAAATAAAACCGTATCTAATTCAAATTTAAACAGAACACTTAAATCTGCTTCCATTGGCAAAATATCACTTCTAGTCCTTAATGCAACTTGACTGTCTTGAAGACGTTTTCACCTCTCGTTCAAGAAGCTTCTTCACTTCTGACTGATGAAAATACTTCTATTGTAGTATACTTGAAAAATCTCTCTCTGCATCAAAACTCCACTTTATTTTAACGTGGTGACACATTTACATTGATTGCTGGGATGTAAAATTTTATACTTGTTTTATGGCAGGTTCATTTGTTACCAGATGCCTTCAGTTGACATCAGGTTAAATCCTGGTAACAAGACACCTAAATAAATAAATTACTAATTTGTTAAAAATACAAAAATCAGCACAATTTGTCTTTTAATGTTGCTTAACTTACTGGTAAGATGGAACAGACAGAACAGCAGAGCCAACATCTCCAAATCATTCACTGCGTTTGTAATTCGGTGTCATACAGTATAAAGCCCCTATATTCATTCTTGAAAAAACTAAAATCTGTTTGAAAAGGGAGACAGAATAATCGCCACACTTTTATTCTTATTTTTATTCAAGTACATGGTCTTTCTTTTTTTTAAATGCTGAAACCTCTTCTCAGTTATTTGAATGCTGTTCCAGCCTTTGCTGAAAGGTCTAGCAGTTTAAAAAACGTGGTTGGAGAAATGATCACGGTAACAGGAGAAGGTAAGTAGCATAAACCCAAAGGGTAAGCAGGTTTCAGTCTAAATATGGGACACATCAGTATCAGAGTAGGTGGTTTTTAAAGTGTAAGCTGTGTTTCCCCAGAGGGGCACCAGAGTACGGCAGTGGAACATTTTTATCATTGTTTTCATAGACAAACTGTAATGGTTTATGATTCATGCAACATGAAAACTCCAATAGTACTATGGTTGCTGCAACCACACTGATCACTATGACCACAACAATGGTACCAACTCAAGACTCACTGCACCACACACAACCACCACACCAACTGGCCAATCCACTGACTGTTACACACCAACCACCTAGGTAAAACCTGTTGCATCACTGGGCCACACTATTTCATATGGTCAACCTGGATTGAACTCTTGACCTAATATCACCATAGGAAGCCAGAGAACAAAAAGAAAACCTTAAACACCTTAAACAATCAGTTACACCCCGACTAAGCAAAGCCCATTGCTGATGCCAGGAGACATGTATTATACGCCTGGTTGTGTTGCTACAGAGTCATAAACTGAGATTGGCTTTGTTCAATCTCCAACGACATACACAGCTCCTGGGTCTTCTAATCACTCTTCTGGGTCTTCAATCAAATCTGCTGCCACTCATCATTGCCGTTCAGCTGGGTCTTTAATCATGTCGACTGTTAATAAAGTCAGTAAAATCTTTTTTGTTGCTTCATGGCGAGAGCGCTAATGACCATTTCACATTTGTAATTCACCTGCAGACTTTTCATTGTGATCTTTACAACAGGACGTTATGTCTATACTA